TGCTATTAATTAAATTAAAAAATATTTTTTAATTTCTTTAAATGGTTATTTAAGGCCAGCATTCGAGTTCCTTAAACAATATCCATTTTTCAATTTCATGATGAATAAATTGAATTAATGCTCCTAATAAAAATCTCTTATATTTTTAGCTATATGTCAATTCTACCCTTATATATTTAATATAGCACTATTTAATATAATTTAACTTCATTTAATATTCATTAAGTGTAATACTTATTGTTTTATTGGAGTACTTAAAATTTTACATTAATCAAATTAAGTTTAATTACTTAACCTAAATTATTTAATTAAGTTTACCACTTAAAATCTAACCTCACATATATGGATGTAATTTTATTATTATTATATAACAAAATATATTAAAGGTTGCATTAATATAATGGTAGATTAATTTTCGTATAAAATAATATTTATTATATTTTTAATATGATTATATATGTAGACGAGGTTTGATTTTAAGTGATTAAACTTAATTTAGTTAACCTAAAATTAAGAGTACGCCAATATGAAAAATGAACTCTATACTTAAAAGAAGATTACATGAATTCAAATTTTAATTAATCTATCATTAATGCCACTTTTAATATATTATAATGTTATTATATACATATGTGTGTGTGTGTGTGTACGTGAGCTTCACTTAAAATCAACATTCATCTACTTAAATAATTATATTCTAATTACAATATATATAAAAATAAAATGTGGAGATGGATGAAAAAGGTTCAATTTATCATTTTGTCATTATATAACATTGTCAATATTTAATTCAAAAATTATAAATTTCACGTTTGATTAATTAATATTTGATAATATAACTATTTAAATACAAAGGATGATAAATTGAAAAGAAAAAAGTGCTTAAATGTGATCAACAATTAGGAGGAAAAGAATCGATGATGAGAGAAATTATCCATCGATTTTAAAAACCTTACTAACTACTCTTAATAATTAGAAGTTACTTACACTTCCCATATTTATATCCACACACTAAATACAAGCTTTGCATCGCAATTACACATTTTCACTAAATCCAACTTTTTAAGTATTAATAAAAATTAATGTTATGTGCTCTAAAAAATAATTAATATAGTATTGGGTATTTCTTATTTCATGTTCATTTTTGTATAAGCGTAAAAATTAATGATAATCATGTTACTTATTATATATAAATATATAAAGAAAAGAAAATGATTTTTATCTCGGTACATTTAAATGAAGAATTTTTATTCTTTCATTTGCATTAATCTCATTCAAAAGAAAATGAAAACTTTTGTTTAAGATTTTTCACTTCGATATCTATTTTAAATGTAACTTTGGTTTCTAATTTAAACTAAATACAATGGATTAATATGACAAGCATGATTAATACATATATATATTTTTTAAAATATGTTTAGATAATATACATTTTTTTACATAAAAAAGTATATGGTATAGAAAAAATGAGTAATTTTTTAATTTGAAATTTATTTATGTAGATTTAGTTTACTTATACGTAAACATTTTAAATTTAATCAAATGTATATCTTTTTATTTGATTTTTCTTCGTGTTTGTCCGTACCACAAAATTGGTCGATGTCGCCGTCATAAACAAATAATTACATTTTAATTTATTTAACATTTTCACTTTATGTAATTTTCATAAAACTTTTATTTATAAGTATATTCTTCAACAATTTTTATTTTTTCTTTTAACATTAGCAATTGCCTTACTTTAAAAATATTACGCATATCATTCATTTCGCACATAAGACGTGCAACGCATGTATTTACTACTGGTAGCCTATAAAAAGGGCATTCATTCCCTTGTATGATATGAGAATTCACTCTTTGAAGTATATCGAACTCGTACTTGTCTTTTACGTCGAACTCACAAAGAATTCAACCTTTATCAATTCTTTATTATAAGTTCTGTTAAGTTGAATTGAAAGGTGCCACTTCAAATTTCAATAGCAACAATTATATAGTAAGTTCACTAATAATTTTACAAAACAAAATTATAGATCTGACTGCCACCTTGATGTTGAATGTGAAATTCCAACTTGTTTAATGAACTATTTTTAATAAATTTTGACGTCAAAAAGGCCAAGGGACTTATGATCACGAGCTTGACTTGTGCCTAAAATAAGGACTTGAACCTAAGATCGTAAGCCTCACAAGTCCAAATGAACGAGTCAAGCAGCTCATGAGTTGAAATGTTTTTTCAAAAATAAATTAACAAAATAAGTCTAAAAGCGAACATTTTTTTTTAAACTAATAAAATCAGTCCAAAAAATGAATCGATCTACGAGTTGAACGTCTCTCGCTCATGCCTGTGAGCTCAAATGAGTCAACTAGTGAGCCTCACAAGTTGACTTATTTCAAAACGAGCTTGAGTAATAGCTCTACCCATTTTCACACCCAAGTTACAAAACAGATAGAGTTTGCCCATATTTGATGCCAATATATGAAAATAAATAAAAATGTCTTGAATGGTATTTTTTAAGAAAGTGTGTGGTTAAAATATAGATTTTTTTTAATTTATATGTAAAATATTTTATTGTATAAATATATCATTAAAAATGAGTATTTAAGAAAAGGAGTACTCAAATATGATAATGGTAATCAAACAGGGCTTAATCTTCTATTATCCATTCCTATAAATATATATATATATTTTTTTTATTTGAAATTTCGTAGCCGTTACAGCACTCCAATTAATTCGTCGGAGAAAAAAAAAATCTTCCCCACTGCTGCTGTCATCTATGCAACCACTCCTCCACTTCACCCCCGCCGCATCTCACTACCACCGTCACCGCCAGTTGATCCGCACCTTTATAAATGCTAGAATCAAATGGGTCCGCGATCCATACCTTGACACTGCCATCGAAAAGGAAAAAAATCTTAAACCCTTACTCTTACTGAAAACCCTAATCATCTCACAGCCCTTCCAAACAATACCCCTCTCCACTGTTTCCCCTCTGAAACCCCATCTCCACCTCCCTACAACAGCCCAAAAATTTATCGAAAAGTACCCGTCCATTTTTAAAATGTTCCTCCCCCCTGGCAAAACCATGCCCCTTCCTCATGTTAAGCTCACCCCAAAAGCCCTCTCCCTTCATCACGAGGAAACGTTGATGCTTCGTTTATCGCACTATCGGAAAGATGTAGCAGAAAGGCTGGCAAAACTTTTGATGCTCGCTCGAGGTTTAAAGATTCCATTGGATTTAATTGATCTGTTTAAGTATGATTTAGGTCTGCCTCATGATTATTTATTGACATTATTGCCAGAATTTCCTGAGTATTTTCAAATTTCTGATATGGGTTTTCGGGATTCAAGTGGTAATGTAGTGCTTGTTTTGGATTTGGTTTCTTGGAGGAAAGAATTGGCTATTTCTGCTATGGAAAAGAGAGCACAGAGTGAGGGTGAAAGTAAAAGTCGAGTTAAGTTCTTGATGAATTTACCAAGAGGATTTGATTTGGAGAAGAGAGTGATGGAATGGGTGGAGGATTGGCAGAATTTGCCATACATTTCGCCTTATGAGAACGCATTTCACCTGGTTTCTAATAGTGATCAGGCAGAGAAGTGGGCAGTGGGGGTGATTCATGAGTTGCTGAGCTTGCTATTGTCGAAAAAGACAGAGAGAGAAAATATTTTTCGTCTGGGGGAGTTTTTGGGATTCACACGCCTTAGGTTTAAGAAGGCTTTGGTGCATTTCCCTGGCATTTTTTATGTGTCAAATAAGATTAGGATGCAGACTGTATTTTTGAGGGAGAAATATAAGAAAAATCTGTTAATTGAGAGGCATCCTTTAATGGGCATGAGGTACAAGTATATTAATCTCATGAACAGGGTGTTGAGAAGGGGTAAACCAATTAGATCTGGATTTGTTGGACGTAAAAAGGGGAATTCTCTTAGTAAAGGAGGGAGAAGGAAAGGAGACGACAATAGATATAGTATTGATGATGAGAATGATGAGTAGGAGAATGATGAAGTGACGGTGATGGAAAATCGTGGTGGTGTTAGTGGTGACTACGGCGATTGTGGTGGAGATTATGACAAGCAAAACTACAGCATGGGCTTATGTTGGCACATGACTATGATTTATTTGTAGGATGTTTTTGGATAGAATAGGCTGAGTTATGATGACAAAAAAATGAATTATGGGGCCTGAGTTCAATAAAAAGGTACAGATATCAATAACTTGTTCATACTATAGGCTGAATTTAAAGCACATCTTCTATAAGAAACGAGCTTCTGAAATTTTTAAGCAGCTCACCAGGGCTTTACCTTGATCAAATGATAGACTACGTATGTGCAACCTTTTCCATATGACATGCACGATTTGTTTACTTGGTAAGTTCTTGGTTTATACATGAAAGGTTTTGATTGACTTGGGATCGCTAGAGTTGTAGGATACAACATTCCATAAAATTAGAGTACGGACTTTCCTGATTCGAGTTGGCTTTTGATTCCTGTCATGACATCTTATAAAGAGCATACAAGGGGAAAACAAGTATGTATCATATACCACTGGAAGCTGCAAACGGGATATAGTTGATTATGGATGGCGAAGGCACATGGATGTTGAGGGTAAGTTCTGTAATTTTAATATTCTCTTTTGCAAATCTTTCACAGAACAGATTCTCGGGTGGCAACTGTTTGCACAACATGCAGAGAAGCCTTAGAGTTGACAATTACATGACACAAAGCACTTGGATATAATTTTTGCCCCTGTAGTGTTATTGTCATGTTTATAGCTGTTATATTTGCCTCATAGAAAGAAGATTGGTCAATCATTATTAACTTTTACTTTTGTTCAGAAAGTTTTTATTAGAACGAAGTTGAGTATCAAATATTTAAGTACTATGCTGCATCTGGCCGATAACCGTAACAATCTTTCCGGGTGAGGGTGTGTATGTTG